GAAAATTTTCAGAAAATTTTTATCTTCTAAAATTTCATAAATAGTTTTTGAAAAAGTTCGAAACAAAATAAACAAGATCATTTAGGTAAATAAACAAAATCATTTTATGTTATATATTTAGTCTATTAAATAGAATATTACATTTTTTGTGATATTTTGTACAATAAAAATTTTGAAAATTTATGAAAAGCTTTTCGTAATATTCTGTAAAAATTAACAAAATCTTTTGATGTAAAAAATTTTGAAAATTTATGAAAATTTATAGAAATTTATGTAAAAATTTATGAAAATTTTATATCCCATAAACTTATGGAGTTATTTGCTCTTAAAAATTTTTTAATAATATAATAAAATATATTAGATTAGATAGATAATAATTGAATATATGCAGTATATATATATAAGGAAAAAAACTTTAATCCATACCTGTTTTTCAAGTTCATCAGTTAAAATAGCTTTCTGACATCAATAGTATATACTGCGATTCATCTCGTAACATTGTAACTTAAGAATTGCTAGTATCAGATAATTTTAACAAAACATATTTACCTCTTTAAAATAATAGTTGTAGTAATCCTCATCTTGACTTACAGGAAGCTTGTTAATAGTTTTATTCAAGTTAATAAATTGACTTTCTTTCTGCAATAACCTTTTGATTACAGATTCAAACTCTATAAGAGACAATAATTTGCTAATATAATTTTTGATAATACTATTATAGGATTTAACACATTACATATTTTGTATTTCCGTGTTAAATGTATAATATGTAAAATAAAGAATTCAAGTTTTTTGACATGGGTAAAGATAATACTACAAATAATTGACAGTATCAGTATATTCAGTTATTAAAGTAGTTTATTTTTTTCAAATATTGATTTTACACAATTATTTTGTGCACAGTAAAGTGTTGTAATATTTTTTTCACTTTTCACCATAGTATTTTTCTATAAAATACTTTTCAAGATTCTTCTAAATATGAAATATATAAAAGTGATATTTTGTTGTTGACCAGGAACTGTTTATTGAGGCAATTATCGAAAGATCGGTGTCAGTATAAAGAAAACGTGATTTTAGTTTACCAATTGTATTTAAAAGACTTTGAAACAATTAGAAAAAGCTATTTTTAGTTTTATCTAACAAAATGGCAATTGCTATAAGGTAAGAATAATTGTAATTGTTTACAATAATTACAACATATAGGATTATAGAATGATAGTTGGTTTTTGTGGTTGTATTGAGAAGAACAATATCATGAAAATGTGTTCATAACTGTTGTTAACTTGGGCATCCAGCAAAGTCATACAAAATGATTTTTTTGATCTTCAAATTGTATATTGATGTGAAAGGATGAATTTTCCTACTATTGTTTCATTAGATTTAAGTATACTGAATTAGCATCACTTTTACTTTGATTTTGTTGAGAAAAATGGAATTAATCAAGTTATAAACATCATGATTGTGAATGTACTTTTTCAGATTTTTGTATTGTACACTTCAACAATTGTACCAGAACATATACCACATGTTACAAGTAATCTAATATCATCTTGCATTTCTGAAATAAACTTTTGAAGATTAGTCTTGAGGGTGGTGATGGTATTAACAAGTTTGTGATTATACTGGTTTTTAACTTTTATAATATAAATCAAATTGTCATTCTTCTGACAGTAGGCATTAATACAAAATTAGTAATTATCAATATTATGTTCTACATTATAGCTCTTCTCTGTATACACTTCTTTCCTTGACATATATTTTTGACCTCTTATACATGCGTAAATATATTGTCAGGATATACCATTCTTTTTATCTTTTTTATTATAAGTAATTATAATGACAAAGTCTTTTTCTAACCTATAGTTTTTAAGTTATCTAATTAAAAAAATTTTTTTTTAATTTTCTTTAATGAAAACAACATCTCTAGATACTTACATACTTGTTAAGTTTTGTTCAATCGTTGAAAACCATTTCTGTTGTTACTGGATAAAATAATCTATCTTCATTAAGCTTGCTAGAAGGAATATCTTCTGAATTTTCAGTTAAGTTAAAGTTATAGATACTATTTTGGTCAAATGACTCTATTTTATATATTTCCTCTAATGGCATTTGATCAGATAGTTCTATTTTGAGCATTTCTTCTAGTAGCATCTCAGGAGGAGATTTCATTATGAGAGAGGTTAGGAGAAAAAGTTGAAGAAGTGAAAGGAGAAATGTGAAAAAAAATGTTGTATTATATATATTTAAATATGACGTATATTATTTGTTATAGTATAAATACATTTATTTTTTATTTTGATATTCATGTTTTTAAAAGGGTTTCTTGCCAATCATATTCATTTATATTTGTTAATATGAGATTATGTTTAAAGTTATATGATTATATGATATGGTACACAATATCACTGGTGTGATTTAAAGTTTTCGAATAATCATATATGATAATAATTAATGTTAGGAATTAATAATTATATTTGTATAATTAAATCTTACATGAACACATGATCTTGTACTTTTATTTCGTGATTAATTAATATGTGTTCCTGAATATAAACATTAGTTAAAAATTTATTCAAATATCACTATTTGTTAACTAAGTTAATATTTACTAATTAAATTTTAAACACTACTATTTTCTAATTATTGTTAATATTTGCAGATATTTTTAATATTGCATACTATACTTTTTGATCCTGATAATTTCATTCTATAACAGTGGTTTATATTTCTTAAAAAATATTTTTTCTTTATAACACTGGTATATATGATCAACCTTGCAGTATCATAACTTGTCCTCTCGATTTCTCCTTCTATTTTCTTGTGTTTTAATTCTTAAAGTTCATAAATGTAAAAATGATGATCAATATAGTTGACAATTTATACAGAGAAAAGGTTATGAATATATTAAATGTGATTATTATGAAGTTAATAAATCAAACAATAGTAAAAGTGAAGTTATTAACTTAATACTACTACCAAAAACATTCATATGAAAAAGAACTATTAGGTATATTTTAATTCAATCAAAATTTATTAATTGTTAGAAAAGGAAAACATTTTTCCTGTCAACAATATTATACAAAAAGGAAAATTTTTTGATGAAAATTATATCGGTGAGCTATACGTGTTGCCCAAATCCCAAATTACTAGTATTTGGGATTTGGGATTTGGGATTTGGGATTTTAGCAAAAAATACTAATCATAATTTGGAATTTGGAATTTGGAATTTCGGCATTTGGAATTTTGACATTTGGATTTTAAATTTGGATGGCAGGTATACGGTGAGCTTTAGTAATACTCTAATTTAATATAAAAATTATATTTTTAAAGATACTTGAAGAACATTTTCATATTTTAAAATATTAAAAAATTTCTTGAAAAAAATTAAAGAAGTTTTTGTTTATTCTTCTACTTGATAACAAAGATATTTGACTTATTTAAAAATATATGAAATTTTTTCTTCTTGTAAAATTTCTTTATACAACAAAACCTGCTGGAATTTCTGATTTAAGATAGTATTTTATGCAAAAGATCATATAGTTTATTGGCCTATATTTTTTAAAGAAAAAGCTGAAAATGATAAAAAATATAATAATCTGAAGGTTATCAATTCTCATTTACAGAGTGAACAAGAGTTAGCTATTATTACTATTTATCTTAATTTTATTTCAATTTATGCAAATGAATTTGTTCAAGACTTATATTTTTTTTAACAATCAAAAAAGCCTATTTTTTCATTAGTGAAATCATGACTTCAACAACTTATTTCATATATTGAAACAAATAGAAATGCAAATTATTTTAATTAGTTATTAGAAAACTTAATTACAAGTTTAAAATTTAATGCAGAAGAATTTTATATTATTTTTGGAGAAACTTTTGAAATAGCTTATCAAAAATTTTAAGTACACATTTCTAATCATTCATCCTATTTACTTTTTCATGCAAGTCAAGTTTTTGATCCAAAATATATTCATATAGGAGATATTTTATGAAAGGATATTGGAAGATATAATATTATTAAAGAATTTGATAATTTATCAGATAAGTTATTACGAGAATGGAAAATTTATTGCGAATTAAATAATGAAATCATTAATGAAATTGAATTAGATCAATATTGGTTAAGTAAGACAATACAATTATCAATTCTTTTTAAAATAGCTTTTGATCACATTTGATTACCAATATCAAGTTGTAGTATAGAATAAAGTTTTTCAATGTATAATTCTTTATTAGATAGTGATCATCAAAATTTATCTTTGGATTCTTTTAAAAGATTAAATATGCTATATTTTAATGGCTTTTAGTATAAAATTTAATAAAGAATAGTTTATTTTTTTGATCTATTTTTATTTTGCATTAAATTGAATTTAATATAAAATTTATAAAATAATATCACATTTTAGTATAAAACTAATAAATAATATCACATATGAATTTTTAAAAAAATAACATCACAATTTATATTTAGCAAATAAATAATTTGTATTTTGTCACCGCATAATTTCATCGTCCCTGCCCTGGGTCTAGGTTAAGATTCCCCTTAACACTTTATGTGATAAAATTTATTTGATCATATGAAATTCATGTGACATATATATGACTGTAAAATTTCAGCAGTAGTGATGTCTTTAGACTTTCTGTACCATATTCAATTTATTATTAGATGTTATATTGACTCGAACTTTGATTTCAACTATATATGTAAATCTAAATACTCACTCTCCCATTACCTATTCATAATTTAATAGATACTTTAATCAAGATAATAATACCAAAGAAAAAATTCAAATAATGAATTTAATAATAATATATACCCATTCTAGAGAATTAAGTTCGTTTGTTATTTGATCATTCTCTTCTTTTCTTTATTCTTCTGAAATCATATAAACTGAAAATTACAAATCTTTGCAAACAGCTCCCAATTCTTTAATATTTTTTATCAAATGCTCCTTCAACGACAGTAGTATTGAATCACCGATTGTTGTGTTACCTTTTTAGCAATATTTCAATATTTCAATATTTTTCAGTACATTGGTAAGTCTTATCCATGCACGATAATATTTTTCACTGCGAAAATTTGCTGCATTTTCTTGCTTTTTACGTTGTAAATACTTAGTAGACTGTTCAACAACCTCAATACGATCTATTAAAGCCTCACACATTTTTTTTTATTGCATTTGGCATTTTCAAAAATGGTATACAAACTCTTCATGACTTTTTTAACGGTACCAAATAAAGGAACAAATGGTTCAATGACACCGTTGACTATTGCATTGCCGATGTAACCGCTAGTGCTAAGCGTATAGTCACTAACAAAATGCATCCCTTTGAATTCATCAATATTTTTATTATTATCTTTTTTAGACATATTTGAATGAATATTCTAGCAATATTTCATATAACGAATATTTCTGAATATTCATAAAAAATATAAGAAATTGTCAATTCCATTATTGGATTTTGAATTACAAATTGTAGATAAATAATTAAATTAAATAATTCAACACTTCTGATTTGTTTTTATTATTATTAAAGTACTACCCTCCAAATTCGAAATATATTGGCGTTATAATGATAGAATTGATATAATAAAAGTTATTTTTTATTTCCTATAACTGAATAACATAAGACGAGTACATAATGAAAATAAATAATGTTGAACCTATGCCTACAATAATTATTAAAATTTGAATAATTTGAATGTTGATAATTATTATTATATAAATGTGACAATTGTTATCTAAAAATCTGGATATTTTACATTTTATGAATTAAATCATGCAGAACTTTACTCATTTAATAAATTTATTAATGAAAATTTTTTACATCGCATCAAACTAATAACCATAGCTCAAATTTAAAATAACCCTTTTTAAGACTCAAGTTAATAGTTTTTAAGACTTTGTACCATTATTTATTGATTTATTATATTTTGAATACTATAGACTCATATTGTAAAGATCTTTTTTCAATATTTGACATAAAGCCACCAAACTTTTCACAAAGATAGTATTTAATAGCTCTATTATTTTTATTTTCTATTTTTACTAACGATATTTATTTAAGTAAAGTTATTTAAAATCGTCCAGTGACTGATATTGAAAAATTCCTTTTTCATTTTTCATTTATTAATTCCTATTTTGCAAATTTAATGACACGAAGAATCATAAACTGACTGACTTAATAACATTGTACTGAACAGTATAATATTATTATACTATATTGTAATTTGTCGTAGAATAGTAAGGAAGAATTTCATATAAATTTTTAAAGAAAAACCACTCAACATTGTTCTACAATTTTTTAATATCGTTCAAAAAAAAATATTATTTTTAATAAATCATCATAATAAAAATATATATATATTCGAACTTTTGATTCGATGATTAAAAAATTCTATCACCCGAGGATTATTTGATTGGTTATATAATTTATGGGAATTCATAATTTAATTCACGTGAATTGTGGAATTTTAGTAAAGTAAAATTTTAAATAACCAATTCCTTATTATGACGTTCAGATCAGCTGCGCCTTTGTGGTCAATAAAAAGACGCTTATTTGTTTGATATTTAAATCTAATAAACTTTACAAATGTCAGAACGGTAAGTAGATTTGATAAATTCATTACAGTATTTTTATTCATTTTCATTATTTATAATTAACCTACGAAGGATTATTCTTTGATGTTTATTATGATAGCAAAGTTTTAAATAAATACTTTCCTCCAGATTTCGATCCTGGTAATAACAATATTTATATTTATTATTTTTAAATTATCAGATATATATGTATATATGTATGCTAATTGAAAATTTTTCTCTGATTTTTTTTTTTTTTTTTTTTTTTTTTTTTTTAATTTTATTAGCTGGTAAGTTACTCATATCATAATAATTTTTATTCTTTATAATTTTAATTAATTAAATTAATTAATTAATGGAATTTTTTTTTCTTTCTACAGCTATTCCTCGAAGGAAACAAGCCAAAGATGCACAACATAAGGTCCGATTAATGACACCTTATGCTATGAGATGTGAAACTTGTGGTGAATATATTTATAAAGGCAAAAAATTCAATGCACGTAAAGAAACAGTTGAAGGGGAAACGTATTATAGCATAAAAATATTTCGATTTTATATAAAATGTCCTCGATGTTCAGCAGAAATTACCTTTAAAACCGATCCCCAAAGTACGGATTATATAGCGGAACATGGAGCATCACGAAATTTTGAACCCTGGAGAGAAGAAAAATTAGCGGGAGAGGAATCTAAACTACAAAAAGAATTAGAAGAAGAAAATAATCCCATGAAAGCATTAGAAAATCGTACGATAGATTCCAAAAGAGAAATGGATATTTTAGATGCATTAGATGAAATTAGAACGAGAAATGCTAGAAATGAAAGAATTAATTCAGATGTAATATTAGATAAATTAGTGGAATCGGATCAAATAAATGAAGATTTGATTCAAGAAGGAGAAGAACGAGAAGATGAATTATTGGCAAAAGCGATTTTTCATAATATGGATGGAGATATGATTAAAAGAATTAAAGAGGAAGAACAACCAACCGTACATCAATTATTATCTGAAACATCTACATCATCCACATCATTATCATCCACATCATTATCATCAACATCATTATCATCGACATCATTATCATCAACATCAACATCATTATTCAATTCACCAACTAATAAAAATAAAATTAATTTTGGAGAAACTAAGAAACGTAATTATTATAATGCAGAATTGGGAATTATAAAAAAGAAGAAATTAGATATAATACCTAAATCTTTATCTAAATCTAAATCTAAATCTAAATTTAAAGAAATATCTAAAGATAAAATAACATCATCATCATCATCCAAAAATAGTGTTAGTGATAATAACAATGATAATAATAATAATGATAATAATAATAATAATAATGCATTAAGTCAATTATTAGGCAGTTATGATTCATCATCATCATATTTATCAGGTGACGATGAAGATTAATATTAATAATAATTCGGGAGTAATTTTTAAGTATAATTATAGAGTATATTTAGACTATATAAATAATCAAATGATATAAACAAAATGTTAATTATTAAGTTAATTTAATAATAAATAAATAAAAATATATATTAAATATTATTTGAGAATCGCAACCGATATATTATATATATTTTATTTTCATATTACAAATAAAACGTTAAATTTTAATTCATTTATTTATTTATTATTCTATAAAAGAAAGAAAGAAAAATACAAAAAAAAAAAATTACAAAAAATAAAAAATTACAAAGTCCGAAAGAAAAAATAAATTTTTGACATGTTATACAAAATATGATAATAATTTTTAATAATTTTTAACAAAAAATAAAAATTGAAATAAATTTTTATAAAAGAATTATTGTATATAATAATCCGAATACCTAAATAAATTCTCTCACTCATTAAAACTTCATAATTTTAAAGTTTATTTTGTAAAATTAATTCTATACTACTATTAATAAATTCTTTTCTTGATGACATATCCATACCGAAAGCTAATGTTAATTGTTCTCGTACTATAAAAAAAAATAAAATTAAAATTAAAAATAAAAATAAAAATAAAAATTATAACAAATAATAATAACAAATTAATAAACAATTAATAATAAAAATAATATTATTATTTACCTTGTTTCTTTGTAATATTCATTAAATTAGCATTATTCAAAATAATTCTAATTTCCATTAAAATTTCTTCATCAGTTGGTTCCATTGTATTAGTAACATTAGTATAAGAACTCATTGGTCGTTGTTGTGGTAATGGTGATGATGATGGTAAATATTCCATTAAAGTTGAATCTCTTCCTCCCATTCCCATTCCTCTTCCATAATCCATCGTACTAACTACTCTTGATGATCTAGGTTCGGATGGTGAATATCTTGGTACTGGTGATCGACTTCTTTGTCTACCTCGATCATTTGGTGATAAATGTGTATCTCGGAAATAATCTTGATTTTGACTTCCACCATATTGACTACCTCCATAATTACTTCCTCCATATTGACTTCCTGTTTCAAATCTATTATTACTTCTATTACTTTTATATGAATATCTTGATACTTCACTATGTTTAGAATCATGTGATTCCGCCGTCGTACCTTCCCATATTTCTTGTTCATAATCTGCCCATTTCTTTTTCGTTATCATTGATTCATCAAATTTTTCTTCACCTGCTGTAATAATTTGTTTTTTCCCTTTTTCACCTACCACGACACGTGTATTACCCCATGAAAAATCATCAAAATGCCAAAATGAATAAATTGGTATAAAGAATGAAAATAATGGAAATGCTAATAAATAAATTATCATCCAACCAATATGTTGCCATTGTTGTTTAAGTATAAATATTATAGCTTGTAAACCATAAACAGCTGCTAACATAATAAGTGCAATCGTTGGTAATGCTTGTCTTTCACTTGCTACAGCCCAAATTAAATAAACTATATAAATTGTGGTAGAAGGTAAAATCAATGTACCAAATAAATCTATGAATACAACAAATCTCATTGAAAAACAACAAACTCCACACATTTCTGATAAAAACATTAATTCCATTAAATTATGAATTGTTGAATTAATCCATCGACGTCTTTGTGAAAGTAACACTGACCATCTATCAGGTGCTGCAGTTCGACATTTGGCATCAGGTGTAAATGTCATTTTATATTGTGGAAAATGTTTCATCATTAAAGTTGTAAGGTAACGATCTTCTCCTAATGATAATAAATTCTTTTTATGTAAAGTATCAACATGATTTTCGGAATAATTATCAATTACCGAATTTGATATAATTAATGGTGAACTTTTAATTGGTGTACGTATCCTATACATACAAAAACATCCGGGTAAACATGTGACCGATCCAAATAATGATTCAAATGCTTTGGCTAAATGATGTGAAATATAATATTCATAAACTTGTATCATAGTCGTCCAAGATCCTTCTTCATTAACTAATGTCGTCTCCCCACAAATACCAATTACACGTCCATCGTGAAGCATACAAGATATCATTCTATTTAAAGCATCAGGTAAAACTTCCGTATCAGCATCCACCATTAAAACATATTCATAAAAACTTGGATTCACTCCAATAACATTTTTCATTTGATGATAAATTTCTAATTCTAATGGTGTCATTTCATCCTCAAAATGTACTTTATTTAAAAATTTCATTAAAATAATTTGTGAATCTCTTTTACCTCGATTACCAGGTTTAGATTTTTCGGATGGTTTACCAACTTTTACTACTACAAGATATGGAACGACGTGACCTTCATATTCATATAATCCGGAATAAACTTTTCCATAATTTAATTGTTGTGCTCCTTCACCAATTGATTTAAATCTTAATGGTTCCGGATCTATTTTTGGATCCACTCCTAATATATCTAAAACAATTCTTGGTGTAGGTCTATCATTACCTGATCCAACAATCATACCATCCGCAATAAAGAATAATAATTTTCTTTTATCATCATAATTTAATGCTGCTAATGAATCCATCGTACGTTTAAGTGATTCTTCTCCTTCCGTATAACATGGAACTTGACAAATAACAAATTTATCATGATCTTCCGGTTTACGTCTTGATCCTAATTGTAATGCAGCTAAAAATTTAACCAAGATAACTGAGGCCATAAGACATGCGGCCGCTAATAAGATATAATTATTAAATACACATCTAAATGATTTTCGAAAATCTAATTTTCCTACATAAAATGCTGAATTTAAACATAATAAATTTGTATAACGATCTTGTGCACTAATTTGACTACTAAATATTTGTTTGGTAATATCTTGTCCTGATCTTTTTTCAAATAATGTTTCAATATCTGAATTTAAATAATGATAATTCCTAACACCTTCTTGTGTAGGTGGTGTAGGTTGTGAATAAGTATCATGTGCTTGAAAATAATCCGTTAAATCATAAACTTTATCATTAATAATTGCCCATTTCCTTCCTGCTGTACCTTGAGCTTCAATATCTTTTTTATCATAAACCAATTCAGCTTTTTTATATAATTCCATTGTAGGTAAAAAATTATTCCAATACCATCTAATATCTTTGAGTGATGTAAATTGTGCATTTGTACCAGAACTATGTTTAAAGAAATTATCCGTATCATTCAAATGATCAACGAAAAAATCACTTGTACCAACTAAACTAACACATGTTTCAGGTTGATTTAATGGAATTGGTATAGAAGTTGAAACATCTTTTCCTCCATAAGGTTCCATTTCTGCTAAACCAGCTTGTTGTGCAGAGGCTTTGGCATGATTGGTTAAATGAAATTTACTTAAATCATAAACTACACCTCTAACACTAACCCAAAAATCATCATCACCTGTATGATAACTAACATCAGTTGTACTATAAACTTTATCCGTACCAGGACAAATGAGATTACCAAAGAAAATAATATAAAATGTAATAAATGCGGATAATAAAAATATTAATAAACATAAAGTAAATTTTTCTCTCCAAGCCATTTGAACATCAGGACGTTTCATTTTACCAATCCAATTAAGTAAAAATGAAGGAATCCACCAAGTACATAACCACACAAATACCACCCACCATCGACGAATTTTGGTTGTAGGTAATTCTTCAATTTCTTCGTGAATTCCTTTATCCTCATTAATATCACCATCGTTACTTCCTTTACTTGGATTACTTGGCGAATATCTTTATTTATTATTATTATTATATAATTATATAAATAAACAATTATATAAATAAATAATCATATAAATAAATAATTATATAAATAAACAATTATAAATAAACAATTATATAAATAAATATTTATATTAATAAGTAATTATATAAATAAATAATTATATAAATAAAATATAATATTTAATAATCTAACGCTTAAAAATAAATCATTACTTACCGATCACCACCTTCCCACATATTTCCTTCTTCATCATCATGTCCAGCTTGTGAAAAATAATCATCTTCACTTTCCGCATAACTATCATAATATCCTACTTCACTACCAGTATAATCAACTCCATCATTATTATTATTCTTAGGTAATAATCGATCAACCGAACTTGCCGCACTGGATGCATTCTGAGTATTACCAATTCCTCGATTTTCTCCACTTAAACTTTCGTCATCTCTTAATTTGGCTTTTACTCTTTCTTCCCTTTCGATGGTTCTTAATTGATCTTCTAATATTTTCCAATTATTATCTGATAAGAATATTTCCCTAGCTCCTATCGCAAAGTCATTCCCTTGAATCCATTCATTTGAGATACAAAATGATTCAATTTTTTGTATTAACGACGACGAAAGATTATTATAATTATAATTATTATTATTATTATTATTACTAATAATTATATCATAACGATTTATGAATTCTTCGAATGTATAAGATGATGTATATTCAATTCTCTTTCTAGTTATAATATCGGGTATAACTAAATTTCGAATTTGTGTTTTAACCCTTTTATTATCAAAAATATCCGGTTCATTAACATCATTGGGTCGAATTTGAAAGATGTTCCATAATCGAGTTTGTGATAATGTACCAATTAATTGATTAAGTGTTCCATGAAGTTGTGTCACTACCGTGGAAACATGTGGAAGAATTTTTCGATTATTGGATATTTCTTTTTCTTCAATATTCGTTGATTGATTATTTATATTCTCATTATTATTATTCTTCTTCTTCTTTTTGGGTTTTTTCATACTTGGTGATCTAAAAGGTTTATTAGGTAATTGAGCTACTACCACAGTTCTTTCATTTTTAGGATGATTCTCAATTGCTAAAGCGGGTCCGGAGAATAATTTCAAAATAAAGGAATTATGGGTTTCTTTAAATAGATCAATGAAATCAGTTGATAAATTATCATTATTTTTATCAATAAAGTTATCGATGGAATAAATAACTTGTCCAGTGAAATGATTGATTCCAAATGCTCCTACACTATTATGATTATTATTATTATTACCAATTCTAATAGTAGAAAATCGTTTGGATGATGAAGAAGCGTTAGAATAAGAAATTGTTGGATTAGCTACGAAAGAAGGATGATTGGAGAAATTTTCTTGTAATGTACTAAGTAATTTAGAATCATTCGCTCCAATTCCACTTTGAATTTTGGCACTTTCTAAATCAAGAATTGATATTAATCCACCAGGTTGATTTGAAGATTTCGTCGTATTGATGATGTTAGAATCTCCTCTTAATAATTCAACACATCCACTATTATCCATAGTTTCAATTTGAGGTAAATTAATTCCATCATTAGTGATTTCCAAATTAAATCCTGAATTATCATCAAATATTTGTTTTAACACATAATTTTCCAATTCTTCCGTAACAAAATTTAAACAAAATTGTTCAAAACTATTTTTAGAAAAATTTTGAGGTCCTGGTTGATCTAATAAACTAATAAAATTTGGTGGTTCATCGGATTGATCAAGTTTTGAATTAATATGTTCAACGATCCAAGTAAATAATATTGAATATAATGCACGAGATAAAGCATCCCTTTGTTCGGTGGCTAATTCGGCATTAAGAACTACTGTACATAATTCTTTTCCAATATATTTAGATTTAAAAGTTAAAGTTTGTTCTAATTTAAAAGCTGGTACACCTAAATATTGAGCTGCCATATCTAAAACGTGACGATTTTTAATATTTGCTGCTTCATCTTTGGCTTTTCCGGGATTAGTAAATTCAATATTTCCTAACAATAATATGACCGATAAGATTTGCCATATTTGATTAACAACTTTTGATTTAAATCCCAAAGTTTTTAAAGCACCTCTTAAATCTTCCATTTGTATACTATCATCAACTTCGGGAATTCGATAACATTTAGATTGTGATAAATAATTATAATGTTGAGGATCTTGTAAATGAGCTGATGAACGCTCCTCTTGAGTTGCTCCAGCCAATAAATAATAAAAAACGTGATATGATCTTTCATCTTGAGGAATTTCCGTAACTCTTGAACGATCAAAACAGTAAGTTAACGCTTTCGATCCAACAATTCGACCACGTTCATTAAATTGTAATTCTAAATATTTTCCAAATCTTGAAGCATTGATATTTTGTACAGTTTTAGAATTACCAAATGCTTCTAAAATAATTTGAACATTTTGAATTTGATTGGCTATCTTAGCTTCTTTTTTGGTATGAGTGGAAAGTAATAAAAGTTGTGATAAGAGGTGACCTTGGGTTGCCGTCTTGCCTGAACCTGTGATACCGCTGTTAAAAAATAAATTAAAATATATGTTTGAAATATTTAATATCTATACTTATATATATATATATATATTGAAATATAAGATATGATGATAATGATAATAACCTGAATATCACACTTTGATCCTCGGCCGATCTTCTCATGTGCAAATAAATCTTTGCAGCGAATTCATAAATATGAGGTTGCAAATTCTTGGCAGGATTATCAATGTTGGCAGTAGAATCCTTATACCAATGTTCAGCATATTCTTTAGCCGATGCATCATTCATGGATTCTAAAGGTTTATTGGGATTCACGACTACGAGGGAAGAAGCATTTAAACGAGTATAAGGTAGGTCGGATTTAAAACGAGCATAAAGTAAGTTTAATACATCATCTTCGGTAGGGGAAGTGATGGTAGATAATAATTGAATCAAGTCAACTTTATCATCCATTGGAGGTAAAGCTCCTCCCGCTCCCACAGGTACAGAGGAGCGAGTTTTTTTGTTTCGACCCATTAATTTTTAGTAATTGAAATTAATTGTATTAATTATAATAAAATAATTGTTATAATTCTAATAAATTCTAATAAATTGTAATAATTCTAATAATTCTAATTAAAAATAATTTGTGAACGGAATAATTTGAAAGAAAACGAAATAATAAAATATATAATAAATATATAATTAAGTTTCAAGTATTATTATCAAACGTTGTAATTTATCGGAATAGAATGATTTTTATATTAGAAATAAAAATTTTTAAGGTAGAAATAATATAATTTTTTTTTTGTCAATTTTTGGTGTCCGTCAAAAATTCTATCGTATCTCTTTTCTTTTTTTTTTTCTTTTTTTTTCTCTTGGCCGCTTTTCTTTACTATTATTATTATTAAAAAATTAAAAAGGCGACAATAATCAAATAAAATAAAACGAATAAACGTTAATTTTTAAAACTATATTTGATTTCGTAAAAATAAAAAAATAAAAATAAAAAAATTAAAATTAAAATAATAATAGTAGTAATAAGTGTAGATAACTATTTGGGAAAGAAGAAGCTTAAAGTAGAAGAAGAAGGCGAAGAAAGAAAGGAGGAGGAAAAAAAAAGAAAGAAATGAATTGACGAAGGTTTTGTTTGAAAAAAAAAAAAAAAGCAAAGGAGTTGCAAGTAATTAATCTTAATACATATACAATATCAAATCGTAATAAATTTTATTGGTAAACTGAGGCAATTTTTCAGAAATTGGGGGATTTTTATTTGTTAGATGTAAAATTATTTTTTTTATTGTACAATTTATTGTGTAAAAATATTTGTTAATAAATAATAATTAAATTTTTATTCTGGGACGAAATAAAAAAAAAAATGCAAGTCGTTGAAAAGGTAATATAAAAAGTAATTTATTAAATGATAATATAATTATATTAAAATTATAAATAAATATAGAGTTTTAATATGCATTTGTGCACATTACACAACAGTTTTCAAATAATGTATTGGTATTTATTATTATAAATTTATATAAATAGTTAAAGAATTATAGAGTTTAGAAAATCAGAGTTATAAATATAAAAAATGGAAGTTAAAAATGTATTGTTAACTTAATGGTGATGTGCTCCTATATATATATATATATAAAAGGGATACAAACAAAAAAAAAAGGATAAGAAATATGATATGATAAAAGAAAATGTGGGGAAGGAGAAAAAGACGATGTTAACAGTATTTGCAAAGAGAGGATGATAAATAATTAATTATTTATAAAACTTAAAAGAAAAAATAATCTATTTATAATAATAATAAAATTAAATAAATTTCTTTTCTGAATAAATACAAACTCAGTTAAAGATCAATTAAACCAAAAAATTGTCGTTATATATAATTTAGATGATGTAATGAATGAATTTTTCTTGATTTCTAACTGGTTTATTATTTTTTATAGATGATCTAAAATTATTTTTTAATTCAGATTAATTTAGATTAATTCATAAATTTTTTTTTAAGTAAATTCTATTTATGGAAAATTTTTATTCTTAAAAAAAAGAAAGAAAAGTAATTATTTAAAATCTTTATTATCCTTTAACTATCTAAAAGACATGTGCTACTGATCGCATATGCTCTCCTAATGTTTTTATTTACTTCTGATTTGATTTTTAATGTAACATGTTATCAATTATTATTATTGCAATACATTATTTAAGGATTTAAGGTAATAATTACAATTCTACGAGTTGAGCAACAAATAATTACCTGATTTTAAAATTATTTTTACATCATAACCTCCCTGTGTCGGCTTTACGATTAGAATGATTTAAATGATTAGAATCAAACATTACAATTTCAATCACGAGCAACATCAAGCAAAAAAGCATGATAAACGTAATAGACATTTTATACACGTACTTGATCACGAATTCAAATTGTTTAATAAGATTCCCAAGAAAAAGGTGATCTAACATTTGATGCCTTTGATTAAAAAATGTCATGAATTACACAATAATTATGCGATGTTGGGATTACACATCGACCCACTTTCGAAGAATTAGATAAAAAGTTGGATGGATTATTCTGAAAATTATCATATTCAGACATCTTCCTTAAATTTAAAGCTTGTTCGCCATAAGTATTTCTTAAACATTTGTGTGCTTCCTATATCAATTCAATGGGTTCTTTTAAAGTAGAATCGATGCACCACAGATTATGTAAATGTACTGCAATTCCTGCAATGTAGCCTTTTATACCATTTTTCGAACATCCTTAATTTGCTTTCTTTACGAATTAACAATATAAATAAAATAAGAAATCGACTGTCATCATGTCAAGGGTGAAGTGCTGAATAGATTTATTTATAACGAGGATGATTATTTATATATATTATATAATATGCAGCAGAGTTTCAGAGTTCAAATGAAATTTGACAAAAAAAAATAGAAATAAAATTTATGTAAATTTCAACTATTTTTATTTTTTCAATCCAAATAATGCAGATTACATTACACTTTAATATTTCTTAGAATATTAAGCTTTAAGAGAAATTTTCTCGAGAACATTTTTTGCATGGCACAATAATTCAGTTAAAAAAGAATAATATTAAGTTTCCCACACCATAACAATTTCTTACGAAATATATTACCCGCAATGATAAGGATTTATTTAGAATCTTCATTATTAATTATTAAAGTATACACGATTGCACTACCTTTTTATTGCCATTAACTTGAATATAAAACCACTATAATGATGTTGTGGAATTTGTTAGTTTACATTTAATACTATATCCTGTAATTTCCACAAATCCAAATGGAAACCACTAGGAGAATCATGGAAAAGTTCAACAGCAGGAATATGAAACTGGTAATTTAGTAGTGTGGGCAAATAGAACACCCACAATATTCGTAAGAAACTCTACTGTATCATAATGGAGAGGTGCTGTGCCAAAAGATATTATGATGCCTGATACCGTATTATTTCAATTTGTACGTACAGAATCAAGTCACATTAATTACTTATATGGCACATATTGGAAGGTAATTTGTAAGTGATTATTATAATTTTATTATAATTCATCAAAATAATAAAAATTCATAATTAAAAGTTTTGTACTAGCCAGATGTAGATAGCACAGTGCAAGCATTGCCCTTGTACTGTCCTGACAAAGAAATATTTTGATTGTAAGATAAATTTGAATGGTCATTTGTCCTGTTGAAAGATCATGTAAGCTAGAATAGACTTGCTGTTGGCAACTTTGACAACCAATGTTGAATATGCTGAGTCAAGTTCCTGGCCAACTGGAGATGGGAAAGATCCAATGGTCGGATGTTAGGATCAGCAGTATAATAACTATTTGATCCCACAATAAGATCCTCTTGATATGCACCGTATAATTGATTATTCCAGGAACATATCATTTCACTTGCTACCGCTCCATGGGATCTGAAGGGTACTTCATAAGCCATCGACTAAACGAATGCAAACAAGAAACTTTTGTTTGGTTTTCAATACTTGATGTAAGCTTCAAGTGACATATTTTTAGTGATAATGATTGGCTTCTTATTTCTGTTTTTTCTTATTAGAACGCAAGTAAGCGGACCTAGCTTGGTTAAGGAGCTCTTTGTTCAACCGAAATGTCATCAGCTACATATGAGAAAAAGTTACGATAGTTGAAATGGTAGAACAAGATCAGCAAAAGTATTAAATTAAACATATGACTTCTGATTATTTCATGTGACATATTGTCTATATATTACATATCTCTGTAACAAACAACTTTATTTTCAAAATATAAAGATTTTTTCCATACAAACAAAAAGCAGACATGATTGTCTTTACGCATTGTTTCCACTAGTATTTTATTATGTTTGTATTGATAAAAATAGATTTCACAAAAAAGGAAATCAAGGAACATTAAAAAACAGGTAATTAATATAATTGATATAATTGAGGGGTTACTGTACACAAGAAAAGTTTGAATAATAAATGGGTAACTATTTCTGCCTCCTGTGTATTTATCAGATCAAGTTTGTGTACATATAGTTATATAATAATTAACCTTTATATTGCATATCAAATTCAGTTATCAAGTTTGTCCAATTGAGTTTTTATGAAATTAAGGTCATCAGAAACCTCTGTATTCCACTGATGATCTATATCAGACAAGAATAAAGAGCTGAAGATAAAAGATTACAAAGAATCTTTTTAAATAAGCAGACTGGATTGGAAGTTGGGTTGTATATGTTATGCCAGATTGTTGCTTCAGATTAAAATTGACCAAAGTTAAAGTTAAGGTTAGCTGAATTTAAAAAGATCTACATAGGCCGTAGTTATAATTCTGGTCAATCTGTGAAATGTAGAGACAAGAGGTACAATATACACTCCCTTAGCAAAAGTATTTGTAAAATTAAAATACTAATTGTGGCACAATGAGTGATTTAAATTATACAAACTTTTTTTTATTAGATTCCCCTAAACTAGAACTATATATGATCTATTTTGTGATAAAATTGAACACCTATACATAAAACTGACAAAAAATAATAAATTTATTCTTAGATCATTACCTATACTATATTTGATAAGTATTAAAGATAGATACTAACTATTTTATATGAAATTGTAATTTGAAATAATATCTACAACTTTAATTATTATCATTTTTCTTGATATCTAATAAAAATTTTAACTTCACTTAGATGTGAATAAAAATAATTGAAATTTAATAAAATTTTTAAAAAATAAAAAAAATTTGAAAATAATTATATCGATCATTTATATCTAAAAAATTTGATTAATTATTAACTTAATGATAAATGTGATATTAAGTCACCTTAAAGCCTAAAATATGAAATATCTTTTGTAAAAATTTCAGCCTTATATATTAAGAATTGTGAGAACAATACGTGATTAAACTTTAGAGTATAATTTTGAAATGTCTAATATTCAACCATTAATATTAAACTCAATTCTCAATTTAAAAATCTGAAATTTTCACAGTAAATACTTCATATTTTAAACTTTAACTATAATTAGTACTATTTTTATTGTTATATTAATAGATAAAAAAGTTTTTATATATAGTATCGATTGATAATTATTTTCAAATTTTTTTTTATTTTTTTAAAAATAATCAACATGGATTTAAAATTCAAATGATCATTATATTTTCAATTTTTGTTAAAAAATTTTAAAACTTTTACAGCAGATGTATTTAATTTTTATCTTTAATGTTACTTAGTTTAACTTTTACTATTTTATTATTAAAAATAAAAGTTTTATAATTATTTTCAAATTTTAAATGTAGTAAATCCGTATCGATCATTTTTAAAAAATTAAAAAAAAAATCTGAAAAATAATTACCAATCAGAACTATATATAAAAAATTCTTTATCTATTAATATAACAATAAAAATGGTACTAATTACAGTTAAAATTTAAATTATGAAGTATTTACTGTGAAAATTTGAGATTTTTAAATTGAGAATTGAGTTTAATATTAACAGTTGAATATCAGACATTTCAAAATTATACTCTAAAGTTTAATCATGTGTTGTTCTCTCAATTTTCAATATATAAGGCTAAAATTTTTACAAAAGATGCTTCATATTTTAGGCTTTAAGGTATCTTAATATTACATTTATTGTTAAGTTAATAATTAATCAAGTTTTTCAGATATAAACAATTGATATAATTATTTTCAAATTTTTTTTATTTTTTAAAAATTTTATTAAATTTCGGTTATTTTTATTCACGTCTAAGTGAAGTTAAAATTTTTATTAAATACTGAGAAAAAAAGGTCTATAATTAAAATTGTAGATATTATTTTTAGTTACAATTTCATATAAGATAGTTGATATCTATCTTTAATACCCATCGAATGTAGTATAGGTAACGATCTAAGAATAAATTTATTATTTTTTGTCAGTTTCATTTTAAGCATAATATCTCTATATATAGGTGTTCGATTTTATCACAAAATATATCATATGATAGTCCTAGTTAGGTATAACGATAAACTGTACAGTACATCAGAAAATTTTAATAAGTAAAAATTTCCGGAATTTTAATATGGTATTAAATTTTCGGAATTTTTTACAAAATATTATGGAAATTTCCAGAAAATTTTCAAAAATTTTTCAGATATTAAAATTCCGTAATATTATAGATGTAATTTTTCAGAATTTTAACATAGTGTTAAATTTCCAAAAATTTGATACTTTAAAAAAGTACAAATTTTTTAAAGTAAATTTTTATATATAAATTATATAAAT